TAGCTTAATGCTGCTGTGTTTCGTATGGTAAGTGTAGAGAACCGGAGACCCTCTTTACTGGAAACGAGGCATTCCATCTAAGTCCTCACGGGTGAGAGCGCATCTGCATTTTGATTCGTAATCGAGGATAGATGTAAATGTCTATGGGCCACAGCAACCACTTACCATCAGGTGGACTGTGTGCTCGTTTATTACCCTATGCTATATAAAAAGAAATTAACCGTAAAAAGACTATAAAGTGTATTCCTACCTCATTGAGGTAGAGTTAATCGAAAACGAAAAACTTTGGTTTCACGTTAATTTTAAATTTCCGAAAATTCATCATCGTCGACGCTTTCCAAAATCCGAATGAGTTCTCAGGAATCGTTCATGTTGCACTGCACTAATTTTCCCGCTAATCGCTTATGACGTCATCAGTGTGTCGTCTATACTTGACCACGGCGCCCAGTGAACTAATTTTCGATGTCGCGCTAAGGATGCGCCAGAGTTGAGATATTAGATTTATTATGCGAAGATAATTTGTTAATTTTTTTTTAATTCATGTAGCTAATTATAGTTTTATATTTCTAACCTTTTGTTTTATTTAAATATCAATAATAATAGAAAAAAAATAACACGTTTGAGCTTAATTTTGAATAGTTTTCAATAAATTTATGGCTAACGCATTACAACACTAGCGGTCTAGCATAGACGACTTTGGCGTGCTGGACATAGTATTTGCTTAGATAAAAATCCATTTTTTTTTAGTTCAATGTTTCTTAGTACTTGTGGCTCTAGAAGACTTGTTTTTTATACTCACATGTTGCTGGGTTATTCTTTTTTTGAGGGATGTAGAATTAAAATACCAGTAATAATTTTCCAATGTCTATATTTCATATTTTTGTGGGCCGGGTTTTTTGTCATCTATAGACGTCGTTGGCGCTCAGGGCACGCGGGTGCTGGTCACGTATAGACGACTTTGGCGCTCAAAAAGGTTAACGATTAACGGACTTGAGGAAATGTAACGGAAGTTAATGAGTCCGGTAATATTTTTTTAAAGTTAACTTAAAGGCTAATTCTTTAGTCGAAATATTAACTTCATTAATTAACGATTAACGGATTAACGAGTTAATGCCTATGTGTGTATTTATATTAAATAAAACATTTGATCAAGAATAAATTGTTGAAAACATGTAGTTCTGGCATTATAGAAATAGGTCTAACATTGGCGGGCTCCAATCAGATTAAATAAAGTTATTATTTTACTATCCTTTATTAAATCTGAAAACATACCAGATTCGATATTAGTAATAAAAATAATAGCTAGTTGAGGTGCGATGGTATTTAAAAATATCGTTGATAAATATCGATAGCTTTCTGAGAATAGATAATTCGGTATATCGATATTTTTACCCAATCCTAGGCAACACTGACAACAATAGTCTATGGTTGAGGTGAAGTGCACAGACTACTTTTAATATAGTGAAATAGCGAATGGAATGACCATACCCAGTGTTGCCATTTTAGCGACTTTCTCGCTAGATTTAGCGGATTTTAACAATGTTTAGCGGATAAAAAAATCGTTTTAGCGATAAATAATTATTTAGCGACTTCTAGCGACATTTGGACTTTTGAGATGGCGACTTTTTATAAAGTAATTCATTTCAAATAAGTAATTTATCATATGTCCAATTTTGTAATCTACCGTTGGTAGCACTCTATATATAATATAATTTCACGGGAATTCCAGAACATAAACTAACAAATGAGATTGACTTCATTATGACGCCAACAGTTCAGTGATGTCTCAGTGATCGCAAGGGTGAAAACTGGCAGCGATCACCGAATGGTTAGAGGCACACTGAACCTAAACGTTAAGTTGGAGAGGTCTCATCTAATGAAGTCAACGCTCCGTCCCCCTCGTGCTCTAATCCAGAATCCCGAAAACTTTCAGCTCGAGTTACGTAACCGCTTTCAGTGCCTACAAGATTGCAATGCAGTGGACGATATGAATGACAAGCTCGTGGAAACTGTCCATGCGGTCGGAGCTAAGTTCTGCAAGACCCGCCGCAGAAGAACACATAAACTCTCCAATCACACTCTTAATCTCATGGCTGTTAGACGGGGAGATGAGGCTGCAATCGTCAACAGATTTGACAGCATAGAAGCAACTGAACAGACAGATCTCCAAATGCATGCGGCGAGACTTACGCAACTTTAATACTGCTCGTATTAAAAAAGCGATCGAGCGGAACCAGGGCTCCAAAGTCTTTGCCAGAGATCTGTCTGCCAGTAAGAGCCAACTGTCAAAGCTGAAGACTGAGTGTGGCAACATCGTTTCCGGGACACCTGAGATTCTTAGTGAGATTGTGAGGTTCTATGGGCAGCTGTACACATCATCGTTGGAGCCACACGCAAGTGTGAGTAACGATCCAAGAGCAAGTCTTATCCGACACTATTCCGATGATATCACTACTGATAGCACTATTCCGATGACGTCAGTCTGAGCGAGATTAGAATGGCTCTCCACCACCTTAAAAACGGCGAGGCCCCGGGCGAGGAATTACAGCGGAGCTTCTGAAAGCGGGTGGAACACCGGTACTTGAAGTCCTTCAGAAGCTCTTCAATTCCGTCCTCCATGGTGGCATTACTCCGGAGGCGTGGAGCAGAAGCGCGGTGGTCTTGTTCTTTAAGAAAGGCGACAACGCTCTCTTGAAGAACTACAGACCGATTTCCCTTCTGAGCCGCGTCTACGTGCTGTTTTCGAGAGTCATTACGAATCGTCTCGCACGCAGACTCGACGACTTCCAGCCTCCCGAACAAGCCGGTTTCTGAAAAGGCTTAGGTACCATAGACCACATACATACCCTGCGGCAGATTTTACAGAAGACTGAAGAGTACAATCTGCCACTTTTCCTGGCGTATGTGGACTATGAGAAAGCCTTTGATTCCGTCGAAATTTGGGCGGTGCTACAGTCTCTTCAGCGGTGCCAAGTTGACTGTCGATATATCGAAGTGCTGAAGTGTTTATACAGTGGGGCTACGATGGCTATCCGAGTACAGAACCAGAGCTCGAAACCTATCCAACTGCAGAGAGGTGTAAGACAGGGTGACGTTATATCCCTGAAACTCTTCACCGCTGCATCGGAAGACGTTTTCAAGCTACTGGACTGGAAAGGATACGGTATTAACATCAATGGCGAGTACATTAGTCACCTTCGATTTGCCGACGATATAGTCCTTATGGCAGAATCGCTGGAGGACTTAAGCATTATGCTCAATGACCTCAATAGTGACTCCCAACGGATAGGTCTTAAGATGAACATGGGCAAAATAAAGATCATGTTTAATGTCCATGTCACACCTATGCCGGTAGTTGTTGGGAGCACTATGCTCGAAGTTGTTGACGAGTACGTTTACCTGGGACAAATAGTCCGACTAGGTAAGTCCAACTTCGACCGAGAGAAATTACGACATATCTTCTCGTCAGGTATACCTTAATCTCTAAAAACTAGATTGTACAACCAGTGCGTGTTGCCAGTGATGACTTACGGATCTGAGACGTGGTCCTTCACTGCTGACCGTATGAGGACGCTCAAGGTCGCTCAGCGAGCTATGGAGAGGGCTATGCTCGGAGTTTCTCTGCGTGATAGACTCAGAAATGAGGATATCCGCAGTAAAACCAGAATGACCGACATAGCCCAACGGATTAGTAAGCTGAAGTGGCAATGGGCCGGTCATATAGCTCGAAGAACCGATAACCGATGGGGAGGAAAGGTTCTCGAGTGGCAGCCTCGTACCGGTAGGCGTAGTGTAGGGAGACCCCCACTAGATGGAGTGACGAACTGGTAATATATGCAGGAAGTCGATGGATGCAGGTGGCTCAGGACCGTGCTTTGTGGCATTACTTGGGGGAGGCCTATGTTCAGCAGTGGACTTGTGAAGGGCTGTAATGATGATGATGAAACTAACAATGCAATGTCGTTAATTCCCTTTCTCTGTTTCGACCTGAGACCATGTTCTAAGGTTTCGACATACAAAAATGCAGCAGTAATATTATCACTACCGCACTCAAATGCAGAATTCGTACGCGTGTTTGGTGCTACGAATGTAGTTAAAAGCAAACTGTGAAACAAGCAATCAGAAAAACGTTTAAATTCCACCCGTCTAATTAGAAATCAGTTAAGGAAAAAAAAAATTGCGCAACGTGTGATATTCCCGAAGATCTTGTCAACCAAGTCGGTAAAGGTAAACCAAAGATGGGAACTGGAGACATTGGCGAAGCTTCAACTTCCGCTGAAGTTCTTTTTGAAGATCTGGATCCATACTTTGCTATTAATTTTGAAATTTAGGTACAAGAACGTACTGAGCTAATTGTTTTATTTTTAATAAGATGACTAATGTTTAAACGTGGTTAAAAGAGATTTGTTTTTTTTTACAATATTTTTTATTTTGTACATGAATAATTTTTGTTTTGGTTGTCATGTCATTAACCTACACTATATATAATTAATTTATATGAAATAAAATCCGCTCTTTTTAAGGTTTTCTGAATTTATAGATTTAGATTTTCGGTATTCTTTGTATACCATTTGGCAAGATTTTTCAGTTAGACCAACGGTACCACGAAAATGTACCTAGGGACTTCTAGCGGATTTTAAGAAAAAGAAAAATCCTGTTTCTGGCGGATTTTTTCTATTAGTCTAGGGACTTTAAAATTTGTAGAACGGCAACCCTAACCATACCATACATATAATGTACTCTGTGGGAGTGACTGATGTAGAACTTGCTGTTACTTGCTACATATTACATATTTATCTATGGACTGAAGTAGAAGTAGCGCAAAACAGATCAGAACACAATCTTTAATTTTTTTGGCAATGTAAAACCTCCCACTTACAAAGTTATATATTCTTCTAAATATTTAATTTATTTTAATTCCTAGCGGGGTTTTTAAAAGTTTTACATATAACATTATGAGTGCTAGTTATTTGAAAATATTGTGATATATTGCGATAATGATGGCATATTATCAAGTTCTGTTAGTTTTTATCCTAGCCATTATTTGTGTAAGCACAGAAGAAGAAGCTGCTGTACATCGAATGACCCGTGCAGAAAAACAGCAGTTAAGGTAATGTTGAAAATATTTATAATTCCCTTATTTTCCGCTTATCTTCCTTTATTAGTGCCAACTAATAAGTTAAAATAGATAACTTACATTATTATATTATAAATTGGGGAATATTTGCTGTCCTAATTAAATTTTTCTATGTAATAACCTAGCTTTTCTGTTCTGAATAATAAATAGTTTTATGTCAATGTATGTGGGTTCAGCACTTATATACATTTTCTATTTTATTTTAATGCTTACTGTCTATAGTTTCACGTTGAATATAATAATAACATGTTTTATACTAACACATAGACGAAAGAAGTAAAAAATCTTGTTTTTGGAAAAAGTTTGAGTCTTTTCAGTTTTTTAGAATGTTAAAAAGTAGAATTCATATGAATTGTGTTTTGAATAATAAATATATGGAATATAGTATTCAAATGCTATGTTCACATGCTAGCATTGGCTTCATATTGTACTTTGATTAAGTAATTTCATAGTATAAAATGTTATTTTGTCAATGATAGAATTGATTGGGCACAAATAAATTTACTAGCTTATGATTGATCATATTTTCTTCAAGTATTTTGCTACACATACAATGTTTAAAGTTAAATGAAGCATAATGTAATGTGTTATACTGCCTCCATACTACAAACTGATGCAAATAAGTTTACAAAATTTAGATTTACTATGGAGATATGGTTGCATATCTGTTAGGCTGGACTCACACATCTCGAACACCTCTCTGAATTCATAATCCAAATTCATATTAAGAAAGCCCAGATTTACATACAATTTGACTTTCTTCATTAATAATATGAATTCAGATCATGAATCCAGAGAGGTATTCTAGATATGTGAGTCCAGCTTTAGACTCAGGAAGGAAAATAAAAATAAAAGCATCTATCTCTTTGTCTATATTCATTCTGGAGGATTCTGAGTTCTCCAGTTCTATTTGAGCTCTTTAGTGGTCCCACTTTCATAAAAGGCAAAAGGCTAAGAAAATATCACCAAAACAGAGGCATTAATGCTTCATAATCAACTTCATCATTACAGCCTTTTACAAGATCACTGCTAAAGGGCTCCCCCAAAGAATACCACAAAGTACGATCTTGAGCCACCTGCATCCATCGAGTTTCTGCATATCTTACCAGGTCATCACTGCATCTAGTGGGGGTCACCCTAGACTTCGCTTATTACTATGAGGTTGCCACTCGTGAATTTTTCTACCTCATTGGTAGTAACATCCTAACCAATGTTACCAGTTAGTTTAGTTTACGACAGGCTGTTTTCTGCAACTCCACGTTTAAGCGCGTATTTTGCATGTGGGCAGAAATAATGTGATTATTCGAGCCATGAAATCTCCCCGAAGAAGTTCAACAGTCTTGTGATAGCACTTGTTACTATCCTGATCTGTGGTTTGTTCAAACTAGACAACTGTTTATTTCAGGCAGGGCTTGCTAGCTTGTCTACAGTCTACTAGGTTTTTCCAAAGCTGAGCGTGTAGATTATTGAAGTTTCTACATACTGGTGAACGAACGTAACCCAAGGGGATTTATATCATTGATTCCGGCCCTGTAGCGGCCAGAGCCTATACCCTGCTGGCCAGTTCATCTGTTGCATCGTTGCCTTTGGATCCACTGTGTCCCCTAATCCATTGCGGAGTCACTTTGTTGAGCTAAATACCTTATTTAATTGTTGATGGCATTCATATATTAGTCCCAAGTTCACTACATTCTAACTAAGAGCTTGTAGTACCGCCATGCTGTTGGTAAGTATTCTGATAGAGAAGTCTTTTGTCTTCCTAGCGTCTATTGCTGGCAGGATAAAACAGTGCAAGCTGTGTACATAATGTGGATATTAAGCTCTCCAGAGAAAGTTCCAGATCTTACACCTTCCTTTGTTTTAGAACCATCCGTGAAAACTAAGCTCTTTTGAGTTTAATCCCTCAGGCTGGTCAGTTTCATTTAATTGTATCTTATACTTCTTATCGAATATAAATTGTTTTGGGATCTTATTGTACTTGGCTTGTAAGATAAGAATTTTTGAGTAAATTCTATCAATTATATCTGTATGAGGGACTCTACTCTTACTCAAAAGATTTAGGGTCTTGTCTAGCCATACATGCCAATCTCTGGTAATTCTGAAGCTTTTTTATAGTGGTGGCTACATTAGTTTTGGTCCACTATACTAGAACGCCGTATGTGGTCATGGGTTAAATTACCGTTTTTGACGGCCATAGTATAATTTTTGTTGTCAAACCCCATTGTTTGATAAACATGTTTATGCATTGCCAGAAAGTTATACTAGCTTTGTTGATTTTGTTTTCTATGTGTTTATTATTCCAGTTAAGTTTACTGTCCAAGGTAAGACCTAAGTATTTTACCTCAGAGGATAGCTAGAGTTTTGTGCTGAAAAGACTTGGGAGATGATAGTTATTCAGCATTCGTTTTTGTGTGAACATTACTAGAACTGTTTTGTTGGATAGATATATTTGACATTAAGATGGCATGACTGCTGCTGTCTTTCCAGAATAGTGTTATCAAGTCATCTCCATAACAACTGGTAGAATGAGTTTTTTGCTGCTTATAAGGGGTGCCTTGCGAGCCTTTCTGATTAACTGTATCTAATTAACTTTATGTGGAGATTACAGATATCTTCATTATCTTAGTAATATTTTTTTACAATAGCTTTTTTTTAAATAGCATAAGGGCTACAAATGAGCACACAGTCTACCTGATCAATACCAAGGCAATACAGTACATCCAGTGAATTAATATTGACTATGACCTATAATAGAAAACACACCTAGATAATGTCTGCAAAAAAGTTAATCAATCCTTGTTTGCTCTTTACAAAATTTCCACGATTTTCAATAAAGAAGCCGTTTTATTAGCCTATCAGGGACTTGTTGCACCTATTCTAAGATATGGTGTAATATTTTGAGGCAACTCGGTAAATAAAGAATCTGCATTCAAAGCTCAAAAGAAATGCATCGGAGCAATGTGCCATCTGGATAATACTAGCTGTCAACCATATTTTAAACATTTAAAAATTCTGAAATTGTCTTCGATACATATGACGTATATCTACGAAATAAATCTATTTGTTAAATCAAACCAAACTTTTAAAAGACTGCTTTTAAAAGCTACTATAGACAGTTACGCGACAAAAAAAGATTAGACATAGAAAAACCGTATGAAAATACAGCACTACTCAATAAAAGTATTCTTTGTATGGCATCACTTATTCACAAAAAACTGCCAGATGAAGACAGAAAGTTGCCTGTCTCACAATTTAAGACGATATTACACATATTTCTGATATTATAATGTCAAAGAGTACCTAGAGGATAAAAGTATCACAATTTAATAGCGATAGTTTTAATCATTTAAATTGTATACTTAATAATAATAATTTGAATTTCAATACAATTGAATAATAGTAGTTTATACATTTACCTAATATATGTGACACATTGTAATAATTTAATAATTTGATAAGATTAGTATCATCATCATCATCATTACAGCCCTTCACAAGTCCACTGCTGAACATAGGCCTCCCCCAAGTAATGCCACAAAGCACAATCCTGAGCCACCTGCATCCATCGACTTCCTGCATATCTTACCTACCTCGTACCGATAGGCGTAGTGTAGGGCGACCCCCCACTAGATAGGAAGATTAGTATATTAAATTATAATTTTAACTTTTAATTTTGTATGACATTTTAAATTTGATTGTACATATTATCAAAAATATTTAATTTTGAGTTTGTATAAACTCAAAATTTCATCTCAAAAACATATGACAACAATTAGCACTATAGACAACTCAACTATTGACAATATTTTTCTTATTTTATTTTTCTTCTTATTCTTAATTTTATTTCAAAGCACCATTATAGAATTAGTAATGCATAGTCTATATTGTAGTGTATTTGCACGCCTCATAAGGTAATAATGCAGTATACATATTCCAATTTTTTGTAACAACTTTTATACCTGTATTATGCAAATAAATGAATTTGATTTGATTTGATGGTAAGTGGATGTTGTGGCCCATAGACATCTATTTTTATCCTCAATTAAGAATCAAAATACAGATGCATTCTCAACTCTGAGGACTAAGATGGAATGCCTCGTTTTCAGTAAAAAAGGGTCTCGGGATCTTTACTCTCACCACACAGCAGTATTAAGCTGCTATTTTACACTAGTATTTTGTAAGAGCGTTGTCACCGCCGAGTCGAGTTAACCAATTCATGCTGCAACCATATTTACCACTTATAGGATTATCTTAGCTGGTTTCGGATTTTTATATTATAGTTAATTGTCATTCCTCACTACCAATACAAAGGGTATGCAATTATAATAACTGTTTCTATATGTAGTAAATTATGCTGCTTTTAATGGTGGTGTTTTAAAATAGTGTTGCAGCCATAAGTAGTGATACAGCGGCGGCAGGGAATTATCTACAGTGGAATCTCAATAACTTGAATTTTAAAGGAAATGCTTAAAATAGTTAATTGGGTTTCGACTTGACAGGGATTCCGAGGTCTTTTTCCTTAACATAAATAAATATAAGGTACATTTATGTGCTACTTAGAAAGTTTAATAAATGTATTAATTCATTACACATGTACAAAGTACACACAGCGACAAACATTTCTTTTGTATGTAAGACATCATTATATTTTACTAACTTCGAATTACAGTCTGCTTTATAAAATTCGAGTAATAGAGCATAAATATGTATATCAATATCTCCCAGGGACATAACATTTTATTTGTGTTATATTCCTGTTCTAAATAATGTTAGGGGTTCAGTGGGAACGAATGACATGTTTTATTAAGGTTCGAGTTGTTGAAATTTCACTGTATGTATTATATTAATATTTTAAACCATATGAATATTTACCGTTTATTTAACTTTTTTATTTTGGCATAATTAAAAATATTTATTAATCGCAAAGTTCAGTATTTTTATGTTAAGTAAAATTTTATAGTTTTGCTAAACTAATATATATATATATATATATATATATATATATATATATATATATATATATATATATATATAATATAGGACACCTAATATTCTGTCTTTTGCTCTTAAAATCCAGGAAAAAATACACACATCCCTGCCTCATTTGTGTCGGTTTATGGTTTTTTGCAATATTAGATGTGTGATGTTGAATGGTGATTATAATGACTGACTCTTATTACATTGTTTATTTACCCAAGACTTCAATAGGATAGCAATGCTACATTGCTTAAATATTAAATATTTATTATGCCAGGGAGGAATCAAGACGCATGTTCTATCATGCATATGATGCATACATGGATAATGCCTATCCAGCCGATGAGCTGATGCCCTTGAGCTGCAAGGGTCGATGGAGAGGGATCACACCCAGCCGCGGGGATATGGATGATGTCCTAGGAAAGTAAGTACTAACTTCTAGCATTAAATTAAATCACAGGTTAATATTTTTTAAATATGTAATGAAAATGAATAAAGGGAAATAATTATAGAGGCAAGGAAAGCATGTTGGTTATTTAAGTACTTTCATTACTAGCCTTTTTATTTAAATAATAACATTTGTCTTGACTGGAAGATTCATATTGATTGTGTTGTGCATGTCGCTTTATAAGTATTGAATACAAACTTAAGATGCTGCAACTTAAGCCTCAGCAAAATATCGGTGCACCATTAAATCATTTTTGAAGGCTATAGATTTATAGAATTCACATTTTGTTTACAGTGGTGTTGATGACTAGTGGGTATGTTATGCCCCAACTACACGATTTGTTTTTCCTTACAATGTAATTTATTATTTAATCAATGTTATTTATGGGTAAACCTTAGTTCAGGTTAGTATAATAGTCAGAGAGCTAATGGCAATTTTCATGAAACACCAGCGTATAAAGATTTTAATTTTTTTTCATCAAAGCTCTTCTGAACTGATCAAAAAAGTGACCAAAACTTTCTTTCTGTTCGAATATCGATATTCCACGCATTAGAACCAAACGGTTTGCTTCGACTTTTTTAATGTCTACAGCAAAGTAGTGGAATAATTTGCCGGCGTTTATCTTTCCGTCCGAATACAATCTGGGCGTCTTCAAGGCAAGAGTGAATAGGTTTTGTTACACTAAGACAAGACAGTCCGAATTACCATAAAGGTGTTCATCACCAAAAATTTTTTGTTATAGAAATACGTAATACTTATTGAAAATCGTTTTGCTTCATCGTTTTTCACTGTTTTGATTCTGATCACCACTAGCAAGTCGTCCAGCAGGATTATTGTTTTGTTTTCAGGTGTATATGTATGTTTTCTTTTACCGCCGAGCTTGTGGCTAAATAGACAGTTAAAATTGAATATACCAGTGTTATTGCTGTCGGCTAAATCGAACTGGGCTTGCTCGAATCTTTTGAATTTTCACAGTTTCTTTTAGAAAGTTGCAATATTATCGTGCCAGCTGAGTTGGTAACTGCGGTTTTTTTGTTGTTATTTGAAACTCGCTGCTGCCCATCTCCTGGCTTGTTTTTCGCTGTCGCCTCTTATGACACCCACGGAACAATACGTGCTGGTAGATATTCTTACACCGCCGCTACACGGTCAAGGTCTGCTCGAATAACACATTTATTAGCTTTAAATATTCTTAGGTTTTTGTGAAATTTTGTTATGGAACATTCTTTGATTACTTATGAGTCTACACTAAGAATATTGTATATATATATGTATATATAAAAAGTAAAGTTACAGCCTATATACGTTCCACTGCTGGGCTCAGGCCTCCCCTCATTTCTGAGAGGGTTTAGGGCAAGGAAGTGTCCGCCGCGCTGCCCAAATGCGTGTTGACGAACTTCACATGTCTTCGAAATATTTTAGCCGAGCCGTGGTAGCTCAGTGGTTAACGCTCGCTGTAAATATAACAGAACGCGAGTAACCCGGGTTCGATCCCCGCCGGCGCCAATGAAATTTTTAATTGCAATTTATGTGCTGATTTAGCATGTGCTCGGCGGTGAAGGAAAACATCGTGAGGAAACCTGCATGTCTGAGGAATAAGAAAAATGTATATATATATATATATATATATATATATATATATATATATATATATATATATATATATATATATATATATATATATATATATATAGCACGAAGTGTAATTCTATGAATGATTATGATATGATTTTAAAAAGTTATTATGAACTCGGTTAAAGTATTAGCTATATATATATACTTTGCCGGCCTTTGAAAAGAGAGTAGGCTCTTTTCTTTAAGTCAAGCCAATCACAAAGAGCTCGGTCGCCGATGATTCGAACAAGTATGTTATTGGGTTGGGCTTCCGGCCACCTGCACTACCCAAGCGAAACGCAGAAGCAAATCTCCTACTTCTCGGTGGTATTCCTGTGAGGTCGTGGTACTTCCCCGGTTCGAGCCGGCCAATTCATGCAACAGCAGAAAAGTGTTGAAATTTCAATATCTTACGTCAAAAAATAAAAAGTTTCCATTTCTTTTATTACATGGCGATACTTTACCAATTCGAATATACATATAGTCATATGGTCAAAGATGATATCATTTAAAAGTTACCTCTCTGATTATAACATAATAACACTCTAGAAGTTTCTTACATTGTCGCCCCGTGTCATTGCGAGGTTTTTAAAACTGCACGCTACTGGTAAATTTGATAGTAAATGATCCGCGATAAGAACGGCTCAAATGCTTGCTTATTGGATTATCACTGCAGGGTTTTATCGATATTTGCGTACCTACGTCCAATTAACTCAACATTTTATGTGTTGTATACGATATGTAAAACAAAATGGAACTGTGCAAATTTAAACGAATACAAGTTGTTTGTTAAAAGTCTCTCTTTCTCTCTCTCTCTCTCCTTAATTTTCTCCTTTGAGGAATATCTTTAGTTTGCTTTATTCATTTCTAATCTTGTTAATATAAAATATAACTTATATTTAAGAAAGAAACATTAAGTAACAGAAGCATAAACACTAATCTAATAAATTAAAGTTCCCACAATGTGATCTATCAAATATTTCACCACATTCCAAATTGGCGGGCCCTGGAGGCAGAAAAAATCGTGGACGCTTGCACATGAGTAAAGAAACCGACTTCCTTACTCCTTACTCTGTGCTCATTGTTTACTGATATCAGATTCCTCGGTAGAGCAGAGGGCCGCGAGTTTGAATCTCGCACGGAGCTAGTGTTTGTATGGCATTATAGAGAATTGTTACGTGTCTGGATGTTGGTCCTTGTCCAATTTATGTATGTAAAGACTAAAGACTTCTACTATACGGGAGTATACACTTGTGTAGCAGCGACATTTTTTCTTAAATAGAAAAGTATTATTTCGAATGTCAAGATGAAACTTTCGTCTAAGTTAGCTAAACACGTATTTGCAGCTTTATCACGAAGTGTAATTCTATGAATGATAATGATTTTGCAACACAAAAATGTAAATATGATTTGAATAATCTGAAATTTTGCAGACGTATTAAAGATTTTGTAGAAGGTATTAAAAACCGATGAAAACAATTACTATATCAACAATGACCTAGTATTCTAATTAGGCTCATGAAACAGCTCACGATTAATACGGGTTGTTTTAATACATTACATTTTTATTTATTTTACCGTAAATAATAGCTTTCATGAAACCAAAACAATGGAATATTCTTTGATTATATACCTGTCATAATCAAAAGGAATATTCTTATTAGAATGAATTTGGAGATGACCTTTTAATCTATTCAACTTCAACTTATATTATACACTACACGATCACTGGTATTCAACATTAACTGCAATGGTCTAACCATTTAATGAAACTGGGAAAGAACCACGCTCGTGGAGAACACCAACTTAAAATTCAGACATTGCTGTTGTGTTTCGTATGGTGAGTGTAGAGAACCGGAGACGCTTTTTATTGGAAACAAAGCATTCCATCTTAGTCCTAAGGCACGACTAAGCATCTGCAACAATTCTTAATCGAGGATAGGGGTATGTTCCGAAATACAACGCAGTGTACTGTAATGCAATGACTAAATGAAATAAATAAATAATGAAATGCAAATGACGTCATGAATCGACGCTATACTGGTGATTCGTTCCAAAACATTGGACAGTACATGACGTCATACTTTTGCGCCATTTGGAAAAGTGTTGGCGATTATTTTGTCATTTTGTGCTCCAAAAATCATTTTATCCTCCTAATGGATATACAATCAATTATTCTATAATTTTTTGTATTCGAATAAATAGAAACAAATTCTGGCATGCTTCATTCGGCGAACACACAATTAAAAATTGTTTTATTATGGCCGGATATCCGACACAATATGGTGGCGGCACGCTAGTACAATAAAGTGTCAAATGATACGTCATTTGCATTGGACAGTACACTGCGTTGTATTTCGGAACATACCCTAGATGTAAATGTCTACGGACCACAACATTTACTTGCCATCGGGCGGACTTTGTACTCGTTTGTCGTCCGTGTTCTCTTAACAAAAAGCAGAATTCGATTGCGGTCAAGTTTTACGGAAAAATTCACAACGGGTCTTCTAGACAAAAAAATTTGTCTGAATATCTGAAACAAAGTTTTCTACACTGTAGGTTAAACACTGTTCACATGTTCAAATTCAAATATTTTAAATTCTTTATTTCAGTGTCTACTTAGTCCAGTTATAAATTATAATATCATGGTTGAAGGTTCCTTTTAAGCAAATGTTTTGTTTGTGATAGTAAGCTCCGCTTCCAAAACAATTTCATTGTAATTAATGAGGTAACTAGATACTTATTAAATTATACAAAAACCAATACCTATCAACATATGGTGATGTATGTGGTGTGTGAATATGTACATATATGTGCATGTGTGTGTGAGATAGGAAGTTGAGTGTTCATGAGGAATGTTGTTTGTGGTTTTTTATATTTTGTTTATGTGGTATACCAATAAATTACGGTTAGTTTCTTTTTTAAAGCGTTACCTCTACACTAGGTATGTCTCCTTTACTGTAGGAGTTTACTTACATAAATTGTACAAGGACAAACATCCAGAGCCGTAATAATTATTTGTAGGCCATACAAATACTTGCCTCATGCGGCATTCGAACCCGCGGCCCTCAGCTCAAAAAGTTTGTCTTAAATCGACTTTCATCATTGCAATAAGACTAATACTACTTTTACGAATACGAATATCAGACCTACTATTCGGCGAATACGAATTCGAATAGCTCGCCATGTTACTGAAAAACTAATTTATTTGATGATGTTCTATATTGTTTTAATAATTTACAACAGGCAATTTTTTATTTAAAAAAAAAACATAAAATTTCTGGATTTTCTGGCTTTAGGCGATTTTTTTTTCAGTCTGTGTTCCCAGCCGTTGAAAAAAGCCTTTCTGTGGCGTCTGTACATGGTTTCAGTGAAAAATATTTTAAGGACGAGTTTTTTTAGACTTGGAAAATTTACATTTTCTCGCAATTTTTCTATTTTTTTACGTGCCGACGATGCGCGGTTTCTTATTCTGCCAACAATTAGAGTTGCGTACAAAAATATTAGTTTTTAAATATTGGGGCTTAGTATTCGCCGAATACGAATATTCGGTAAATGTCTACTATTCGGCGAATACGAATATTCGTATTCGTATTTGTTGCATCACTAAATAAGACTAATTTTTTGGATTTTATAACGGTTAATTGTTACTACGTTACCGTTACCGACGTTTCCTGGTTTATGTTAGCTTAGTTAACGAAGGCTACCTTCAACCTGTAATCATTAAGATTTACGCAGAATAAGTTTACAGCGTCTTGAAGTTTTGCAATAGTATACTTTGGTTTAGATCTTCTCAATTTAAATTAGGATGTTTTTTTTAATTTCTCGCGAATCATCCTTGGTAGGAATCGGTGTTCTTTTGCGAGGATTTGTGGTCTATCAAATCTGATATAACGATCCTGAACATGTTGACATACTGCAGACTTGCCGGAGCGTCGTGTCGGTGCGTCACACCAGCGACATGTCTTTTTTAAGTCGCTTTTTATGGATATTTTTGTTTCTAGAGACAGAAGATAAAAATAAAGTGTGTAAAGCGCCTGCAATGTCGGGGATTAAAATTAATCGCTGTAAAATCCGAAAAATTGTTTTATTCCATGTTTAGTATTCGATTAAACATAAGAAACCACCAATTCTCTTACCATTTCTTTATTTTTCCGCAGCTTCTCCCTCACGCTGGTAGACAGCCTGGACACCCTCGTGGTGATGGGCGACTTCTCCGAGTTCAGTCGTGCGGTGCGGCTTGTGGTTCGTGACGTCACCTTTGACCACGACATCATTGTCTCAGTTTTTGAGACCAACATTCGGATGCTGGGGTGAGATCTTGTAAATTATTTCATTTCATTGCTCACAGTCCATACAGACCTGCCTTTTGATCTAATCTGATGCAATGCTTAATCTGACTTTTTTTGTGCCCGAAGTAATTAAGGGCAACCCTCCGGTAACGGGGGAGGGAGGTGGGGAATGCTCATAGCATACAACGCAGCTGGCTGCGTGGTTATGTGGAGACTTTTACCCACTAAACCACCTAAGGATTGGCTTACCGATCTGACGAGAGATCTTTAAGCCGTAAACGAACGCGACCCTCCTTGGCAGCAAGGAGGGCGCAAGGTTAATCCTATACCTTTAAACGAGCAATTCTTGTATATATATATTATAATCGGGATCTCGGAAACGGCTCCAACGATTTTCATAAAATTTAGTGTCCAGAGAGTTTCGGGGGCAATTAATCGATCTAGCTAGGATTTATTTTTACAAAATGTCACTTTGCCCGTGTTTTCAGGCAATAAAAAAAGTGCTACAATATAAGAAGGTAAATTTTGACAGGTTACTAACGATCGTAATAGCTCAGATGGGATGTTGTTCGGGCGTGATATCGGAGTTCCGCGGTTCGCGTCCCGTCTTGAGTCCGACTTTTTTTCCTTTTTTTTCAAGTTCCCTTCTTTTGTGAGAAAATCTATTATTTCGAGCCCTTTTTTTAGTATTTTTTAAAAATACGAAAATTTTAATTAATCTAATTGCACTCATGATTTTTTATTCAAATAACCAGTTCAGTTTTTTCTATTATGTCAATAAGATCAAAAACTATTATTCATGTAATTTGTATATAAATGTAACTTAAAAAAACCGAGCAAAGCTCCGGGTACTCTGACATGAAGCGTATAACGAGACCCCCTTAAGGTTATCAACTCATCCTATAATAAATAGACTATTGATATACCACAGCTATAGCAAGCTACAGGAATTGTCATCGCTGATCCTCACATGCATAGTAATAACAATAATGTCTTCCAGACCTACTTGTGGTCACAGCTGCCAGTCTTATTGGAGACTAGCCATCGGCGAAGGACGGTATTATATTGCCGAAGTGTATGCACAAGCACAGGTGCACTCTCTATTCCCTCACTCTCATAGTCTGATGAGACGGTAATTCGACACGGCGTAGGACCAACGGCTTTAAGTGCTTTTCGAGGCACGGGTATGAAAACCCGACATCTTCCTGACTCTGGGCTGCTAATGAGAATTTCATAACAGAAAAACCCTATAACTGATTTTGTCCCGACCCGGGATTCGAACCCCGGAATCAGGAATCGCGTTTACGGCCACTAGATCAACGAGGCAGTCCCATGCGTAGTAATAGGATGTGAAGCGTGAGGGCAAGGTCAACAATGCCCCCAGTAACCGGTAATGGAGTTGAATGGGTAAGCGAGTCGAGGAAATTGAGAGAGGAATTTAGATCTTAAATCTAAATAAATCTACATTAATAAAACCCTATCCAGGCGAAGCTGTAGCGATTCGCTTGTCTGAAATAAAGTAAGGATTAAGAAATAAAAAACAAAAAGAACACTCCGTATAGTGATGGTGTAAGAATATTCATATCGAGTTGACGCAAGCATAACACGGCTTGCAAGTAAACAGACGAGTGATTTCTTAGAATTATGCCACCTGGACCACAATCGATGTCGATGGAAAAATTACATCGTGTGAGGTATGCGGGATGAGGGACTTAGGCGACGTGCGGTAAGCTGCCAGCCTAATGAACGACACCTCTAATCGGGCCACCGACGACTACGTGCGCTATTCTTTTTTTATACAATTAATGTAACAATCGAGCACACAGTCCACCTGATGAAGTTGGCACCAGGAAATAAGTATTAAAAATGCAATTAGTATAAATCGATTGCGCGTAAAAAATGATATTTATCGGTACTAATAGTTTGTTTGCGCGTCAAATATTTAAAAATATAAGGCGGGTGTTGTGAAATAATAAATTTTTTACTTAAAAATTACTGCAAAATATTAGTTAAACAATGTATATTTGTAGATTTTCACATGCGCAATCAGCACCCGATATCTGTTTATCCATAAGTTATTTACATCGTAAATAAATAATTAAATAATCCCATAACTTCAGCCGCAGCGTCCGCCCGAGAGTGCAACTTCCCAACTTCCTGAACCTTGGTAAGTGGATGCTGTGGCCAATAGGCATCTACACCCATGTATTGTAATGTGGGACAGGTGTTGAATGAAAAGGAGACGTGTTACTCTTGCTATGACTTTAATTATACTGCTCGTAACTTATTCTACTTTAACTCTAATATATACTGTCGTGGGGGCTAAGGGGTACATTACACCTATTCCGATAAAGAACGGTGATTTTTTTATAGGATAGGGTGACCAATGAGCACACAGTCCCACTGATGGTAAGTGGTTGCTGTGGCGCATAAACATTACATGTGTCCTCGATTACAAATCAAAATGCAGATGCGTTGTCACCCGTGAGCACTAAGATGGAATGCCTCGTTTCCAGTAAAAAGGGTCTCCGGTTCTCTACACTCACGATACGAAGCTCAGCAACATTAAGCTACTATTTGAGGCTGGTATTCTGTAAGAGCGTGGTTTTTCCCCGGTCGAGCCGACCCATTCGTGCTACAACTATACTACTAATATAACTGCAGCATGGCTCTACCACGTATAAAATTATTACTCCTGAGGACTCTTAAGATGGAATGCCTTGTTTCCAGTAAAAAGGGTCTCCGATTCTCTACACTCACCATACGAAACAGGTATTCTGTGAGAGCGTGCTCCTGGGTGAGCCGACCCATTATGACTACAACCATAATATAGCTGCAGCGTGGCTTTACCACGTACCTTACCTTTTTATTAAGTTAATTTCATGGTCTTTCAAGCTGGACTGTCCCGCACCCTATATGGTTAGATAAGTCATTCTATACAAACTTGCAGGATTATTCAAGGCTCAAAACTCGGGCTAACACCTTTGTTGTTGTTTTCATCAGCGGGCTTCTGTCGGCCCACGTGCTGGCGACAAAGCTCCGTGGCGAAGTACCTGTTTTGCGCTGGTACAACGGCGAGCTACTAACGCTGGCTGAGGACCTCGGCCGTCGGTTGCTTCCCGCCTTCAACACCTCCACGGGAATACCGCACGGACGGGTAAGTGGTAATATGCAAAGTTACATTAATTAATCATTAATAATAATCATCATAAATAATATATCAATAAAAATAACTTAGTGAATTAATTTAAGAGTTGTATTTATTACAATAGAAAAATTACATTAATTCAAGCAATAACCTCATATTTAATGAGGTTATAAAAAAAGTCAAATTTTATGTCAAATTTTTTACTGAATTAATGAAATGTTTATTCGCCACTAAAACACATCCTACTCCAGACATAAAATAAACAAATAAAATAAAACTTTTAAATACCCTGGTACAAAAAGTAAACATTTTTGACCATTCCACTGAACCCAATCAAAACCAAAAAGTATTTGGGAATCTTGTAGATTCCAGGCCATGCCTCAACTACAGTTCAAGGTTACTGTACAATATGGTACAAAGAAATGAAACTTCGAAGGAGTATCAGTGCTATATTTAATTTACTATTTAACTTATACAAGTTTATCTTAAATATAGTTAAAGGTAAAAATATAGGTAAAGGTATAAATTGCATGCCCGTTGGCTGTTACAATGATCACATATGAAAACGTAATGTCTGACGGTTTGTATAATAATTATAATCTAAGTAACACTTATTTGCACGTATGACTTAGAATATAATAATAATAGTAATAATGTGTGTGTGGCGTAGGGAAGTGACGACCCCATCGCCCGCTGACGAAACAGTTAAGTGACAAAACTGCTACGTCGGTGCAGTCAGTCAGCGCCTTGCCAAGAGGTGTGAGCGCCGTGCCTCGGCAGTACTCAGGGTGCAAAGGCCCGTTTGTGCTTACGGCCGTACAATGATACAATAAAACGGTGCCGGGCCTGGGCGTCTCCCGCTAATTGGCGCCCAAAAATGGATGATGGATAAGATTGGAAAACGTATAGGGCCGCTGCCTGGGGGTCGCCGGGGCGCGTCTGGAGCTGGCGCTGGACGCGGCAGCATGCGGGCCGCCAGCCGAGCGCGAGGAGCTGCAAGATCACCTAACAGCCCCCCGCATCCATCATCCCCACCAGACGGCTTGATGTCGGCAGGGTCCTCTCGGACTCGGCAAGCGGCATCCGCCGCTGGTGGAGTGCGCCGCATGCGTTGGACAAGGGATATGAACGCAAACGCAATGCGGGCGTACTATAGGGCGAAAGGGGAAGAAACTGCGGGGATAGCGTATCGGGCTCGGATGCATTGCTTTTTTGCTGAGCTGGAGCCGTCTATTCCCGTCACGGAACAAAACCTGGCAGACCGAGTTCGGTACATCATGCGCTCGAAAATATTCGATGATGCCGAGCTCGAACGACTACGACGTGAGGCCATTCCCTCATCGAATGAATTGGCTACGGCTGGGGATGAGGCTCCTCAGGCGACAGACCAGCTGCCACGAGTAGAAGCCGCCATGAATCTTGCAGTTGTGGGTGATTCAGACGATGATGAAATGGTCTCCCACGAACTAGAGCAAATGAGGAGTATATTGGAAGAGGCGATTTTAGAAACGCGCAGCATGCCTCTCGAAAATCGACCGCGACTTCCCCCGCATACCCCTAAGCAAGCGAAATCGGGCTGTCGTGAGGGCTCTTAACCCAATGCTGGTAACCTATTTGGAAGCCAGCCGGGACCTTTGCGAGACGGACTCAGTTCTTTTTGGCGCCGCAGTGGCAGCTTGCCGTATTATTGGCGCCAAACTTCCCATGGCTGGACGCGCTACTAAACAAAGTAGCGCCATCCCAGCCTGGAGAAAAAGAATTGAGGACCGTATCGCAAAGGCAAGGGCCATTCTCGGCAGACTGATAAGCTTCAGGTCGGGTAATAATAGACCGAGGGTTGTGCGCACCGTTAGAATGGCGTTTGCTGGGACAAATATCAGTTTGTCCCAGCCGGATATCACGCAGAAACTAACGGAGCGCATAGACGACCTGAAGCAAAAGATTGCCGCTTGGGGGAAGCGGATTCGCCGATTTACCGGGAGGTCAAGGCGGTTCAACCAGAATCGTCTCTTCCAGAGTGATCAGAAGAGGCTCTACAAATCATTGGAGCGACCAGAGGTATGTGGAGCGGGCCCAGGACCGGATCAGGCTAACACTGTCGCATTTTGGCGTGGCCTGTGGTCAGAGCCCGTAAACCACAGCGAGGGCCCTTGGACGGAAGTTGTGGCGAGTCAGTGTGCGAGTATTACGCCCATGGACCCCGTCATCATAACGCCGGATGACGTAGCTGAGGCGGTCCGTAGAGCCCCGAACTGGAAAAGTCCGGGACTCGACGGACTGCATCACTACTGGCTGAAGGGGTTCATGGTGTGTCACGCTGTGCTCGCCCGTCAGTTTCAAGAGGCTCTCAACCAGAAGTCGCTCCCTAGCCTCTTCACTACTGGGATCACTCATTTGGTTCCTAAAGACCAGGTTACCACAGACCCGAGCAAATACCGCCCCATTACGTGTCTACCCACCATATATAAGACACTGACATCCATTTTGAGCGCGAGAATCACTCGTCACCTGGAGCTAAATCAGGTGATGTCACGCGCTCAAAATGGATGTCGGGGCAGTGGTCGTGGAACTAAGGAACCACTCCTCATTGACGCGGTCATTGGCAAAGTGGTGAAACGCAACCGTCGGAACTTCTCCGCCGCCTGGATAGACTACAGAAAGGCATTCGACTCGGTGCCCCATACATGGCTAAAGAGAGTCCTCGAGCTGTACAAGATAGACTGTACAGTGAAAGACTTCCTCGAGCAGTGTATGGGGCAGTGGAGTACGATCCTTTGTCATCTGGGTGAGCGGATGATGGCTGCGGAGAACCACATAAGGATAAGAAGGGGTATCTTCCAGGGCGATTGTCTGAGTCCAATCTGGTTCTGCCTCTCCCTGAACCCTCTCAGTACCTTACTGGAGGGATCCGGGAGAGGATTTCAGCTACGGAAAGGAGGGACAAAAGTGACCCACCTTTTCTATATGGATGACCTTAAGTTATTTGCCTCCAGTCGCTCCCATCTTGTGGAATTGCTAAAAATCACTTGTGAGTTTAGCAGTTCCATTGGAATGGAGCTGGGGACGGATAAGTGTGCGGTCCTCCATGTTGAGAGGGGAAGGGTTGCTAACTCTGAGGGCATAGATTTATCTATGCCCGTCAACTTAAGGACCCTTTCCGAGGCTGAAACATACCGATACCTGGGTATGTCACAGAACATCGGTATCGATGAGGCTGGTGTGAAACAGTCAGTTTGCGACGTGTTTTATGCACGCTTGACCAAAGTGCTTAATAGCCTTTTGTCCGGTGTGAATAAGACACACGCATATAACGGTTGGGTCATGCCTGTCCTTATGTATACCTTTGGCATACTCAGGTGGACTCAGACTGAACTTAACGCCCTGGATAGAAAAGTCCGCACTACCATGACGTCCCATAGGATGCATCATCCGAGATCGTCGGTAATGAGGCTGTACTTGCCGCGAAAGCATGGTGGGCGTGGCTTTCTAAGCGCGCTCACTATGCATAATCGTGAAGTGTGCAGCCTCCGTCATTACTTCCTGGCGAGATCGGATGATCCATTCTATAATGACGTCATTTCTAGTGATAAAGGGCTTACCCCTCAATCCTTGGCCAACGAGCAATGGCAGGACCCAGCAGTGCTTAGCATTTCCGACCGGGAGACCGTATGGAAGGAGAAGGAGCTCCACGGGAGGTACTACAGGGTTCTACATGAGCCCTTCGTAGATACAGTCGCCTCCCTCAACTGGCTACGTTTCGGTGACCTCTTCGGGGAAACCGAGGGTTTTGTCTGTGCAATACAGGATCAGGTTATTAAGACCAACAACTATCGGAGATACATCCTAAAGGATGGCACCGTCGACGTCTGTCGAGCTTGTCGCCATCCCGGGGAGTCACTTAGACATGTCATCTCCGGTTGTTCGGCGCTTTCTAACTCTGAGTACTTGCACAGGCACAACCTAGTAGCCAGAATTCTACACCAGGCGCTCGCTCTGAAATACGGTCTCGTGGACCGAAAATTGCCGTATTACAAGTACTTGCCGGAAGCCGTGCTCGAAAATGACCGCGCCAGGCTCTACTGGGACCGGGCCATCATCACAGACAGGACTATTCTTGCAAATAAGCCTGATATTGTGCTGATGGACCGGGCACAGTCAAGGATATTTTTGGTCGACATTACCATTCCGTATGACGAGAACCTCGTGAAAGCCGAAACAGATAAGCAAACAAAATATCTGGACCTGGCTCACGAGGTGACCGACATGTGGGGTGGTCTGCCGACCGAAATTATTCCTGTAGTCGTCTCTGCAAACGGGCTAATCCCAGTCAGCCTCTCGGGTCATCTGAGGCGACTGGGACTCCGTGACGGACCGCTCCGGGCTCAAATGCAGAAGGCAGTGGTCCTCGATACCGCCCGCATCGTCCGTCGGTTTCTTTCCCTTTCCCCCTAACCCTCGGCCGTTTGGTCTCCCCTGCCGAGGGCTTCCATCTGGTTGGATCTTTATTTATTTGTGTATTTTTTGTATTTATTTTATTTTATTGATATTTATGTATATTTATCTTTTCATTTTAATTTATAATTATATATTTATAGAAACCAACCAGATGAGAAAACTATACAGATACCCCAAAAATAGTAATAATGTCCTCTAGACCGAATTTCGGCCAAGGCGGCCTGCCTCAACGGAGGCTAGCCATCGGCGCGGGACAGGATTATAGTGCCCAAGTGAATGCGCAAGCACAGGTGCACTCTCTATTCCCTCACACTCATAGTCTAATGGGACAGTAAAGCAACACGACCGGAGAAAGATCAGGCACATGACCAACGGCTTTACGTGCTTTCCGAGGCACGGGGTGAGACACCGTCAACTTCCTGACTCCGGGCAACTACTGAGAATTTCTTGACGGAAAAACTCAATAATTAATTTTTTGGACTTAGAATATAATTATTATATAAACCAAACCTATATTTATAATAAAGTTCAAATGTGTGGACGGCATGAACAGTTACCATGTTCTTAAAATATTATTCATGTAGCTGAATACCAACTTTCGAGTCGATCAGACTGTGGAAGTTGCTCTCATCCCTCTAATAAAGTGAAGAAAACCTTCAAACGGCTGAACAGTTTACCTTGAATCCTAACTCAGAACACTCGATCAAGTCAAGTCCTTTAAGCGTAAACTCTAATAGATGTGGGTATACCCGTTTTGAAGCTACACACTCTAACACACTCATAGACAAACAAACCTTTAACAAAAGCATCTAACCCAGCATCCAGTCTACTCTATTTTAGCCACAACACAATAGTGCTTCCTTTATTGTGTTCCGGTCTGAAATATATCTGAAATATTAATAATCGTCTGAAATACTTTATACGTGGTGGAGCCACGCTGCAGCTATATCGTGGTTGCAGCACGAATGGGTCGGCTCGACCGGGGAAGGATCACGCTCTCACAGAATACCAGCTTAAAATAGTAGCTTAGTACTGCTGTGTTTCGTACGGTGAGTGTAGAGAACCGGAGACGCTTTTTACGGGAAACGAGGAATTCCATCTTAGTCCCCAAGGGTTGACAACGCATCTGCGTTTTGATTCTTAACCGAGGATAAATGTATATGTCTATGGGCCACAGCATCTACTTACCATCAGGTGGACTGAGTGCTCGTTTGTCACCCCTATTCTATAAAAAATATAGAGTCAGTTATCACAAAAGTAAAAAAGTAAAGTAAAGTTACAGCCTATATACTTCCCACTGCTGGGCACAGGCCTCCCCCTCATTTTTGAGAGGGTTTTAGGGCAAGGAAGTGTCCGCCGCGGTGTCCCAATGCGTGTTAGCGAACTTCACATGTCTTCGAGATATATTTTTTTTTATTCTTCAGACATGCAGGTTTCCCGATTCACGATGTTTTCCTTCAGCGCCGGGCACGTGGTAAATCAGCACTTAAAATTGCAATTAACAATTTCATTGGTGCCGGCGGGGATCGAACCCGTGTTACTCGCGTTCTGTTATATTTACAGCAAGTTTTAACCATCTGAGCTACCACGGCTCTTATCACAAGCTGTTGGGTATTCCATCTTGGTCCTCAGAGATGACCACACATCAGCAGTCTCCTCTGTTTAAAGTTGTTGGCAGGTATTCAGAGTAATCAAGGTGGACTGTAAGTTCGTTTTTCACTATACTTTATAAAAGACATCGTTTCCATAGCAACGGTGCTATTATACTGTCAGTAGCTCACGTAGTGGTCGGACATATTTCTATTATAATAAATCAAAATAAATTTAAATAACACTCAAAATTAGCCTTTACAAAACACTTTTTGAAAATCAACAGAGCTACGCCATTACATACATTTATTTTATGAGCGGCAACGCTTTCATTATTCGAAGGTGTTGCGCAGAAATGATGCAACCCACGAAGACAAAGTTATTCAATGTTGAATATTATTATGTTATGTATATTATTTTAAAGAAAATCGATAGCCGGCTCTGCGTGCTATCCGAGGCACGGAAGTGAAGGAACACCGCCAAATTCCTAACTCAGGGCCAAACCTAATAACAAATTTTAGCCCGACCCGGGATTCGAACCTAGGACCTCATAATCTGCAGTCTCATTTACGACCACTCGGTTAGCGTGGCAGTCATGTTACTACAAATAACTTAAATATTATACACTATACATGATAAATATATAATAGCACACACATTTGTTACATAATACTTATTGTACAGATTTTAATCATAATACAACTGTGTACACGTCATGAAAAGTGAAATAAAAATTATAACATTATTCGGTGATCAGGTGAACCTTCGTCATGGTATCCGAGGTCTGTCGGAGTCCCGGGAGACGTGCACAGCGTGCGCTGGCACCATGATCCTGGAGATGGCGGCCCTCTCGCGTCTCACAGGCGATCCGATCTTCGAGCAGAAGGCTCATCGTGCCATGGACCAGCTCTGGAAGATCAGGCATAGGTATTGCTCATAAGAATATTTTTTTAATTGACAAATAACTCACTATTTAGAGACTTCACCTGTGTCGTGAAAGAGTTTTTACATATTATATAAATTACACGTGAATAAACATCAGGATTCACGACCCGGATTTGTAAGTCATGTAAGTTGTTCTGTGTTCAAACCAAAGGCCCAAAGTGCCCCCGTTAATCTATTGAGATTTGGAGTTTTTTTTTTAATTAAGGGTTTTAAAGAATATGGATGATCACCGAGCATACAATACACCTGATGTAAGTGGATACTGTGACATCTTTCTTTTATAAGGTAGGGTGAGAAACGAATACACAGTCCACCTGATGGTAAGTGGTTGCTGTGGCCATAGACATCTACATTTAACTTCAATTACGAAATTAAAATACAGATTCAGATGCGTTGTCACCCGTGAGTACTAAGATGGAATACCTTACTACGTTACTACGTACTACGTTTCCAGTAAAAAGGGGTCTCTGGTTCTCAACACTCAACATACGAAACGCAGAAGCATTAAGCTACTATTTGACGCTGATATTCTGTGAGAGCGTGGTCCCTCCCCGGTCGAGTCGACCCATTCGAGCTACAACTATACTACTAATATAAATGCAGCATGGCTCTACCGCGTATAAAATCTACATCTATTTTGCTGTAAGAATCAAAATAAACGGAGGCAACATCGATCCTCATTTAAGATTAAAAATCCCGAGTCGTCACCCCGGAGAAATAAAATAGAATGCCTTATTATCAGTAAAAGTCACCAGTTCTCTACACTCAGCATACGAAGCACAGCAGCATTAAGCTGGAATTTTAATCTAGTAGTCTGTGAGAGCGTGGTCCTATCCCAATGGAGACGACCTATTTGTGCTACAACCATAATATAGCTGCAGCGTGACTCAACCATGTATAAAAGTCCAGACGCCAAGAGGTGTTTTTTTTTTATAAGAGATTCAAACGAGAATAATACGGCTCAATTGATGTGAAGTGCTTACCGCGGCCACAATGATGTAACAACTGCAACACCAGGGGAATTGCAAGTGCGGTGTCGGCTTTTTTAAAAAGGTGTAGGTTATTTTATTGAAGGTCCATATGTCCAAATATTTTATAAAACCTTACGGCTTAGTACGTGCAGCTCTCGACAGTTTCCATACATTGGAATGGCCATGAAGGTTAGAGAACAGGAGAACGATCACTACGTACTAAAGCATAGCCCGCCTGTCCTTGAAAATTGTAGAATGTAGCGGCGCTGACGTCGGTGAGTATTGACTGCGAAGTTAGCTGTTTATGAGTACAAGTAGATGAAGTTAGTTGAATAATGTACAAATTTTCATTTCTTTTTTAATGAGAACATTTTCGTGCTCCGTAATTTTGTAATTTTTGACGAAAAGAAAGATTAAAAAATGGAGAAATATTTTGTTTTGCGTGGATGTGCAAGTGGTTTAACATCTGATCGGAAAAATAGACTGAAAATGACTTTTATTGACCGAACTTAGCGTTCGCAGCTCCTCACTATGGTTTCTGGTACACTATTTTCTACGGCGATCGTTCTCCTGTTCTCTAACCTTCATGGGAATGGCAACTGTCAAAATAGCGCCATCTAGTGGCATGAGTTGGTGAAAAAGTTATGAACTATGCAAAACTCTTTGTTTGTACCGTAGTTTTTCAACAGAATTTGAAAATTTTGTACAATTTTACACTGTACTAGAAACAAAACGTAGATTATAGTTTTTGAAGATTTCTTGGGGGTTTTAAAATAAAACTAAATACATTAGGAATGTGAAATTTTCTACTGACCTCAATCTACTGCGCGATTCATTAAACTTACTTACGTATGCTTTTAACAGAACATTGAAACACTTGTCTAAAAATAATCTTATACATTCGTCGCATTTAGAAATATTTATTTGTGCATACACATTTAAAATTAATCTACCTTTAACATTGTTTACAGAAATTTTTAAGTAATTGTCTATATTTTCTTTGAAAAGTTTGTTGATAATGTCAGAAACCCTCTTAGCAATTCTATTTGTCTATTTTCTAAGCTATAATCATTATCTAGGCTACATACAATTTTTTTTACATTTATCATGTGGCAGTGAACTATATGCCCAACTTGTATTCTTTTCAGAAATAGTAACAGGATAATGTGCTTGGTTATACTTTGTATTTTAAACAGTAATACTTGTGTTTTTGCTCGATTTGCTGTCTGCAAAAGAAGTTCACTCATTGTTACACACAGCTAGAGCTTATACTGTTACATTTTTCTTATATTTTGATAATAAACTAGAGGTATTAAATTAGTGTTTTCTTTTAATTATCTATCACAAGACGTAAATTTAGCATTTCTGTATGCAAATTTGCAACATTAGGTATTGTTTTCATGTTGCTCTTGGGTCTCCAATATCGGGTCCACCGGGTTCAATTTAATCTGTTTAGAACTGCAACAAAGAAGGCACACATACTATGATGTAGTTTCTTACTAAATCCTTACAAAAATAATAATGGAAATGTTAAAATTTAGGTATGCAAGACAGAAAGTTATACCTTATTGAACAGTCTAAATTTATTTCACGTAGACATCTTCTCTTTACTTATTATATCTTCCTTATTATACAACCTCAAGGTTGGTACTCAATCTGGCATTAACTTAAAAAATTATACTTTTTATAGGTACATCTGCACATATTAGTATGGAAAAAACACATCCATAACATAAATATTATACCATCTAAATATTGACAACTTACTTCTGGCTATATAAATCTTTATTTCGAAAACATTTTTCATCAAAATGATCTGAACAAACTACATAATTGTTGGAAAAATAATCAGCATCTTTAATTTTCATCAAATTCTCCAGGTGAGTTCTTTTACAAGCCACAATCCATCGCTTCAATCTAAAAGGGAAATTTATTAATAAGTACAATAAACGACATATTACAAGCTTATAATCACATTTGTTTAACAAAATCAGATACAACCAACCTCTCCAAAACTTTGGGCATTATAAAAAATCATTTTGGGTCTTTTAGTTGTTTATAATTGTTGCAACCATATACTGCACAAATTGAACCACGTGAAAAACTAGGTTTTGCCGACATGTTTTATTAATTACTTATGTAATAAGTAAAATAATATAAGCAATGTTAACCGCGCGACTATTTACAAGGCTGTAAACTAAATTCAACAACTCATGCCACTAGAGGCGCTAGTGTGCATGATTGCCAAGTTTTGAGTGGAGCTGCCCGGTATAATACCGTAGGTTTTCTATAGTGAATCTCTTTCTTTTTCTATCTAAATCTCTGGTGATAGTCGATTCCACAAGGAAGTGTTCGAGGACGAAATCTTCTTTGAAATCGCCCAGTAGTGGACCGCCAGTCACCAGTCATCCAGATGGTATAAATGGTATCGCGAAAAAAAAACAAACAAAAAATAAAGTCATCAATGTTTAACGTCTCGTTAGCCTAGTGATCTGAAGCGCGACTGCTGATTATGCGGTCCTAAGTTCGGATCCCGTGTCGCGCCAAAACTAGTTATGAATTTTTTTGTCAAGAAATTCTAAATGTCAGTTCAGTCAGTCAGGAAGTTGCCGGTGTTTCACTTCCTTACCTCGGAAATCACGTAAAGCCTTTGCTTCTGCGCCTGATCTTTCTCCGGTCGGGTTGGATTACAATCACATCCGGAATAATACTAGTTTTTACGGAATTTATCGCGTATATTTAACTTTTTAAATACCCGACGTTTCGAACGCTTTACAGCACTCATGGTAACGGGCGGGACTGAGATGTTCAACGTCCAGATGTCATAGTTAACCGCGGTTACCATAGATTAAAATTTAACTTTTGTTCCGATCTATGCAGTATGAACTTATGGTATCTTGAAGTCTTGCAGTTGTATGCTTGGGTTGGGATTTAATTTTATTTATTATAGGATCCCAAGCAGATGGTAGCACCCAGCCATCTTCTCTATTGAAATTAGGATGTTTTTTGATTTCAATAGCCTCGCGAATCATCCTTGGAAGGAATCGGTGTTCTTTAGCGAGGATTTGTGGTCTATCAAATCTGATGTAGTGACGGGGGCGATCCTGTACGTGTTAACATACTGCAGACTTACCGGAGCGTCGATTCTTCACATCAGCTATATGTTCTTTAACGCGGGTTTTAATTGATCTTTTAGTTTGTCCTATGTAGGAGAGACCACACTCACAATCAAGCTTGTACACTCCTGCATCTTGCAGAGGGACGTTACACTTGACTGATGGTAAAAACTGACCAATCTTCAGCGGCTTGAAGTATGTTTTGATGGAAGCACGCTTCAAGATGTAGCCAATCTTGTCAGTGACTCCTCTATATGGCAGTACAGCAGGTACACGCTCGACTGTGGCCGGCTTCACTCGTTCTCTGTGACGTAGGCGCGGGACCCGAAGCTTGTTGTCTTGCAATACTTGCTTGACGTGTTGGAGCTTGGCAGCCAGGTGTTTACTGCCACAGATCCCTCATGCTCTCTGAAACAAAGATTTACCCACGGTAACTAACTGTGAAGGATGATGGTGAGAATCACCGTTTAAATATCTATCTGTATGGGTCTTTTTTCTATACACAGTATGGCTCAAGGTGTTATCAAGATTCCGAATTACTAACACATCTAGAAAAGCTAAGGAATTGTTTGCCTCAATTCCATTGTGAACTGAATTTTAGAATTTATAGAGTTAAGATGGTCTAAAACTGCAGTTACTTTATCTAAAGGCAGAATTGTGAAAGTGTCGTATACGTACCGCTTGTAGAATCTTGGATTTATGGGAGAAGTAAGCGGGCTTTCTCCTCAAAGTCCTCCATGAATATGTAGGCGACAATGGGAGATACAGGTGAGCCCATCGCCACACCATCTACTTGCTTGTAGAACTCCTCCTTCCACAGGACTACCGTGGCGTTTACCGTTACCCTAGGGAAACGCCACGGTAGTCATGGATACGTCAGATTATAATTCTAAAATACAAGAACTTTTGTCGGATGTAAGTAAGTACTTATAAAAAGGTTGAAAACGACCCAACAAATAGCACACTAAAAACAACTAGTGACCTCATAAAGAAACACTCCGAAAAATTAAATCTGGACGTAAAATGGATAATACCTACATACGCCAAATCACCAAAGTTGTATGGGTTACCAAAATACACAAGCCCAATGCTCCATTACGTCCCAGTGAACCAAATCGATTCACCAACTTACAGATTGACTCAACACTTAGCGAAAATACTCTCACCGCTCAGGGAACATACGATTCAAAATGCAGATATGTTGTCAACCGTGAGGACTAAGATGGAATGCCTCGTTTCGAGTAAAAAGGATCTCCGGTTCTCTACACTCATCATACGAAACACAGCAGCTGTAAGCTGCTATGTAACGCTGGTATTCTGTGAGATCGTGGTCCTTCTCCGGTCGATCTCACCCATTCGTGCTACAACTATATCAGTAATAAAGCTGCAACATGGCTCTACTATGTACAAAACTTACGACTACAGAAGTTACGAAGCATTGAGCGCAGCTTAGTGCTAAAAGTAAATCTAATTAGTTGATATGTTATTCAGTTTATATCAGAAACAGATAATATTTAATAATGTAGTTTTAGCACATACGCCTAGGTTTATTCTAGTAAGCGGCCTGTTATTGTGGACTATTTTATATTAAGGCACTGTGTTAATTAATTGTAAAGTTTATTGAAATAATAATTAAATAAAAAGAAGATCAGGGTGTGTCGTGTACACGGCCGTGTGTTTTACGTGAACACGTATTCACGTAACGTCAAAATTTTTACTACAGGGGAATTATGTTACGCAGCGAAACGAACTCAAAATGGCGGCGTGGTCACGCTTAGTGGTGCATCACTATTCTCACTCAACGTAACGAATTCTTTGATCCTTTAGATATGGAGTGGTGTAATTAAACTTTAGATGTTAGAGGTACGCTGCTTCAACACCAAACTCTATCCGCCGATTTTGTTATCATCAGTTTTTTTAAATTGCCTCCTACTATGGAAGCAAATTTAAAGACAATCACCTAAAAAAAATTTTTGGCAGGACGTCCGACCTGATGGGCACGGTAATCAACATCCATTCTGGAGACTGGGTGCGCAAGGACTCTGGTGTGGGTGCCGGCATCGATTCCTACTACGAATACTGTCTGAAGGCGTACATCTTGCTTGGTGACGAGAAATATCTGGCTCGTTTCAATCGACACTATAACGCCGTCATGAAGTACATTAGTCGTGGACCCGTGATGCTGGCTGTCCATATGCACAGGTGAGATCACTACTGTATTTTGTCTAACTTAATATGAATAGAATAGAATTAATGGTGGTTTATATAGCGCATAGTGCCATATTATAGCGCGTTATCTCTCCATAACACATAGCGCGTGCTATGTAAGTAGTCGCCATAGCGCTATGGCGCTTTGGCGCTATTAAGTATTAATATCTAGTTGAAACCAGTTCTAGCGGCAGCGCTGTTGGGAGAGGACGTGTGATGCAAATTTGATCTAGTAGCACGCTATTCATCGCGCGCGACCTATTTTAGTGTTAGACGTTGTTTAGTTAGTGTATACTGTATATTTATAAGTGATCGAAGGACACAGTTGTCTGCTATAAAAGAAGCCTAACTAATGTTTTTAAATGTAAATAAAATATAGATACAAAAATGTATATAATAATAATAATAATAAATTTATTGCCTCTAAAACACACAGTTACATTCACGTTAAAACAAAAGAACATTATAATTATTTGAGACAAAAGGAGACGGCTCGGCTTTGTCTGTAACGAGATACAGATCTCATACAGAGCTGTTTTTCAGCCGCTCCCTCCTCACTGAGGTGTTGTGCGGGAGTCCAAAGTAGCGGGCTCCCCATTTACCTGACTTATACTTCTAAACTACGTACAAAGTAATTAAATATTATATCAATATAAAATATTTTTTTAATTAAAAAAATATTATATGAATATTAAATCGCAAATACAAAAAAAAGATTAAAAACATTAAAGACAAAATAAAAACATTTAAAAATATGCATAAAACAATCATTACGAAATGAACTAACAACAGATTCAAAAACAACACGAGAAATAGAAAATATAAAATAAACTTTCCTTTCTTTGAACTTATATGTGTCTATTTGTGTGTGTGTGTGTGTGTGTGTGTGTGTGTGTGTGTGTGTGTGTGTGTGTGTGTGTGTGTGTCTGTGTGTGTGTGTGTGTTTGTGTGTGTGTGTGTGTGTGTGTGTGTGTGTGTGTGTGTGTGTGTGTGTGTGTGTGTGTGTGTGTGTGTGTGTGTGTGTGTGTGTGTGTGTGTGTGTGTGTGTGTGTGTGTGTGTGTGTGTGTGTGTGTGTGTGTGTAAGTGTGTGTGTGTGTGTGTTTGTGTGTGTGTGTGTGTGTGTGTGTGTGTGTGTGTGTGTGTGTGTGTGTGTGTATCTGTGTGTGTGTGTCTGTGTGTGTTTGTGTGTGTATGTGTGTGTGTGTGTGTGTGTGTGTGTGTGTGTTTGTGTGTGTGTGTGTGTGTGTGTGTGTGTGTGTGTGTGTGTGTATGTGCGTGTGCGTGTGTGTGTGTGTGTGTGTGTGTGTGTGTGTGTGTGTGTGTGTGTGTGTGTGTAATAGTGTATGTAAATAGTTGATTTTTATAAATATACCATCAATAAACTTTTAAGGTTAAAATAACGTTTACATCAATTATAATAAAAAAATAATTTATTTTGTTTCTTTTTAAAAAGTACATGCTTTAAAAATATTTTTAGGATTATAGAAAGTCGTAAGCCTGAAAAGTATGAAAAAGCGTTCATTGGCTTTTCTTTACCGCTTTATTTTATTTTAGTCTAAAATGCGGCTTATTACGAAATAATGTTCTTATATAGCACGCGATCTATCCAATGAACGACATGTAATGTAACGTGCTACGAGATATAGCGTGCTGCAAAACTTAAGCGCTTGCCCGCCTACTACACGCTTTCTTATAAATAGCGCGCTATAACATAGCGTATTTAATAGCGCGCTAGAAATTTATAGTTTATAGTCTGTAGCGTGCTATTGATTTATAGTCGTTTTGAACAACTTTAAATAGAATAATAAAGATTAATATCTAATTCGCAACCATCCGCATTAACTAAATAAAATGATGTGTCTTACCTGAATTGAAGAGCACCTCCAGCCCTCCCTCAATTGCATGCACCAATCCCGTCACCACTAGTCCCAGCACCACTACTCCCAACACCACTAATCTCGGCACCACTACTTCCCATTTTATGTTATTGAAATAATGTTGCCCCCACACTAGGATTTTAAGGGGTTTCTAGGGTGTAAAGCAGTTATGGTACCAATATATAAAGGAAAAGGGTCACAGCAGGGCTGCAAAAACTACCGTGTTATCAGCTTCCTTAGTATTGTGAGTAAACTGTATGCTAAGGTGTTAATTGAAAGAGTTATGAAAGAAACTGATGGAAAAATTTGGGATGTGCAAGCGGGTTTTAGAAAGGTAATGGGGTGTACAGATCAAGTCTTTTCCATGCGCATGATTGCGGAGAAGTTTTTGGCCAAAAACCAGAAAGTTTTTTGTGCATTCATGGACTTGGAAAAGGCTTTGACAGAGTGGACAGGAATGTGTTATGGCAAACACTGAACTCATATGGGTTGAGCGCTGGTTTGATGCAGGCATTAAGGTCTCTTTATAGGGACTCTAGTGCTTGTGTCAGGATCAATGGGGTCTACTCGGACTGGTTTGGCATCCAAAAAGGTGTCAGACAGGGCTGTGTAGCTTCCCCTTGGCTGTTCAACCTTTTTATGGACAGCTGTTTGCAAACTTTGAAAGATGAAGAATGTGGGTTAAGAATGGGTGAGTTAACCGTCAAATGCCTTTTGTATGCCGATGATCAAGTCATATTTGCGTCATCGGCGGCTGAGTTGCAAATGATGGTTACATTAATGAACAGGTCATTAAAAGCAAGGGGAATGAAAGTGAACGCAAGTAAGACGAAAGTGATGGTTTTTGAAAGAGAAAAAAGCAAAACGGTATGTGAAATAAGAATAGAAGGAGAGTTAATTGAGCAAGTGGATGAGTTTGTGTATTTGGGATGTGTATTTAGCAGGGATGGTAGATATGATAGGGATATAGAACGACGAGTAAATGCAGGGAATAGAGTGAATGGGGCACTACACTCTATTATGAAGAACCAGAATGTGTCAAAAAAGGCACGTATGGTAATTCATAATGCTGTGTTAGTCCCTACTTTAATGTATGGTAGTGAAAGCTGGGTGTGGCAGAGGAAGCACTAAAGTAGAATAAATGCTGTAGAAATGCGGTCTTTAAGGAGTATGCTAGGGTTTAATCTGAATGACAGGGTGAGAAATTGCGTGATAAGAGATAAATGTGGTTGCAAGATGATGTTGTGACCAGGATTAAGAAAGGAATGCTTCGGTGGTTTGGTCATGTAGAAAGAATGAATGTGCAAGAGTCACAAAGCAAATTTATATGGCAGATGTGAACGGCAGAGTCGGGAAGGGACGCCCTAGAAAAAAGTTTATCGACCAAATTGGCGATATTTTGAAAATGGGCCACGTTAGAAGTACCCTTAACCGACGAGCATGTATGCGTAGATGTATGGATGTAAAGGAGGCGAAAGAGGTGTGTCAGGATCGTGCCAAATGGAAGTCCGTAGTCTCTGCCTACCCCTCTGGGTGACAGGCGTGAGTGTTTATGTTATGTTAAGGACAAACATCCAAACTCATGCAAGGTAAACATGCAGGATTCGAACTCGCGCAACTCATTGCTGAGCCACCGCGCCACGTAGCCGTTATTAGGGGTTAACCGAGTTGAAGAGAAAATTAGCTTATATTTTCAAAAAATCTTTGGGCTAATACCATTGAGGGTAGTTGAATTTCTGGTAAATTTACATAGCAAATATGAATAAATATTTTAGTCTATTCCTTAGTTGTATTACGTCAATGCCAAAATTATGTTAATATACTGTGTTTTTTAAAATAGTCGGCTGTGGCAGAATACCAGCGGTGACCTAAAATCACCACATAGCTGAGTCACAGGCCAATTTATCTCATTACTGTTATGTTACTTAAGTATGTTTCTAAGTTAAGTTTGTGATGATTTTTATTTATAAGTACATTTTTAATAACATGTGTAAACTGAGACAAATAAAAATCTTATTATTATTATTAATTATAAAAATTTAACTTTTATTTAAAGTAATACGGAAGTCAAACTACTTCTAAAGGTGATTAGACATAGTGTATGAGAATAACAGTCCGGACGTCAGAAGCTAATATGTGAAAATTATTTTATTTGTTTTGTGATTTGGATGAACACTTCCCCTAGTTTCACAGTATTTGTTTCAAATTATTTGTACGGGTTACCGCACATATTTTATGTAATTTTATTTTAATGACTCGTTTATTTACGTCACGCAGAAACAATGCATTTGTTACTTTTGAAATCATGTAACTTCCGTACTTTTGCCTATACATCAATTTATAATTCTTTACAATAAATTCAGTGTTAGATCGACTTTCATTGGGTTTGTTACGTACACTAACTTTCCCTTGCGTCCCATCTGCACTCATTCATCTTATATACTGTATACACCTTACAGTGTTTTTGGTCCTTCGAAAAGACAAGATCACATCTGTGGATTTCCATCGACATTTGGAAGATAGAGGTACAGTGGTTCCTACGCTTAAGTCACTTTATTTTCTTTGTGGATTTTGTGCGACTGCGAATCGGTTGACTGGCTTCCCAGAAGCGGGTCCCACCAGTTTTATTGAGAAGGCGCAAAAAAGGTCGTACTAGGTTCGCGAAGATATAGAGTGGCCTGGACCGCTGGACAAACATCTGCTACAGCGGCTATCAAAGTGGACAGTTGTCGTCGACATTCGACACAGTGAACAGTGCTACGACTCGGTGAGCAGTGAACTTAGAGTGTACCTTTTTTCGTCCTCGGAGTGTCACACAGTGAACAAGCATAATGGAGAATCTACTTCAGCGCCAACAGGAGATTGTTGAAGCGATCAAGAAGATAGAGAGAACTTCAGCAAGGATTCCGCAACACGCAAGACTCGAAGTACTTGAACGAGCGACTCGATGCCCTTGATAAACTGTGGGCCGAGTTCCAAGTAAACAACCATAAGTTATCCGACTATGAGAATGACACTGATCCTTACTTTACGGAAAATCAGTACCAACAAGCAAGAACGTACTTTGATACTGTGCGCATCAAGATATCGACCTGCCCCCCCTGCACGTGAACCTG